ACAAAGATGAAGCTCTCTGCTCTGGTAAAGACAATCTCAGAGGCAGTTCTATAGGGTCACTAAGAGTCGGAATCCACTCGATGAGCAATGAGCTCTACCCCAAAAAAATTTTTTTAAATCAGGCTACCACAGCTTCCTCCCATGGAGCTGCTGGTGGGGTCAAAGCACAGACCCTTAGGTTAGTTCTTAAGCTGTCACGGTGGGAAATGAAGACGGTAGAGGACTGCCAGCTACTGAGGATCCAGTGACACTGGTTTGGCCTGTTTAGCAAGTCACCAGGGCAAAGAATTCAAGTGCTGATCAAAAAGCAAGTGAGCAGCGCCACACCAGCATGGAGTGTCTAGTCTGGTTCAGAGAAACGGCTAACCGTAGCCGTACCCTTCTCAAGACTCTTTCCACCTGAGAGCTTTCTAAACAGGCTAGATAATCTATTAAAAATAACTCATTGACATCGCCATTGCCATGAGTCAGTGCCAGCTCATAGTGACTTTATAGGACTGGGTGGAACTGGAACTCTTAGGGAGTAGAAAGCAATCCCCACAACTGGACCCAGAGGTAACATCACAATCATTGACGAGAGGGTTGGAGTTGTCATGGCTTTCGTCTTGCTTGGATCCACAGTCGACGCTCATGGAAGTCGGAGTCAAGAGATCAAAAGACGTGCTGCACCGGGTCAATCTGCTGCACAAGACCTTTACACAATCTCGGCACAAGGGTTGCAGAGCAAGGATGTTAATTTGAGGACAAAGGTGAGCCTGACAAGCTATGGCATGCTCCATTGCCTCAAAGGCAGGTGGAGGTTAGACACCGAATACAGAAGAGCGAAGAAGATCAATGCATTTGAATGGTGGCGCTAGAGGAGACTATTGAAAGGACCGTGGACTCAGAAAAGGACACACCAATCTATCTCGGAAAAAGGCTGACCCGACTGATCCTTAGAGGCAAGGATGGCAAGACTTCGTCTTACAGGTTGTCAGTCTGTCTGGGAAAAGAGAGGAGCAGTGAAAGAGAAAAGATGGCCGGACACAGTGGCGGCCACCATGGGCTCCAGCCAAGGAACGATGGTGAGGGCGGTGCCCGGCCGGGCAGGTTCCGCTCCGTGTGCCTCGGTGCGCTCTGGGCCGGAACGGACTCTGGCACCTAACGACAACGTGGAATCAATTCGACCCCAAGGCTGCGGAATTCCTGGGCTCATACAGGATGGCTACACTGCTGAGAGTCTAGTTTGAATTTCAAAGTATTGATAAATTAACTCTTCTGAAAGCATTCTAGAGTATTTTAACAAGCTCGGTGTTTCAGTTAAAAGTCAGTAGAATGGGACCTATTCAGGGATCAATTAAGAATGCATCTTTGCTTTGCCTAGCTGGTTGTTATTCAGTCCAACCTCAGAAATAGGCAGTTGTGTGTTTCATATCAGGGTCTTCTGGAGAAAAGTTCAAAGCTAGAGCCTTCTAGGATGTCTACAGTCACCTGCCGTTGGATTCCAAGTCATGGCAAGCTAGTCAACGTGTGTCAGACTAGAACTGTGATTTCACAAGCACATCACGAGATCTTTTATTCAAGGGCCTCTGGGTGGATTCCCAGTGCCATCCTTTGGAGTCGCCACCAAACATGTTTAAAGTTCAATCGTGAATGCACCTACCGAGAATGCAATGGACTAGAAATTGCCCTGTGACCTAAACATGCGCCATTCTAGACCGCAAAGTAGCCAAAAGTGCACAGCCTCTGGTCTGTTGTTTTACAATTTTTCAGTTTAAAAAAAGTTCAGTGAATCATTAGATCGTGTGAATTTTTAAAAGGATGAAAGGATGTCCCATTTGAAGTCATTGCCATCCTTACTCCATCCAGCCCACGACATTATGCCAAGAGTTGATGTCATGTGGTGGTTTGTGATTTTGAAGCACTCCCTCAACTCTTCAAAGATTAAACTATGTGCCCTAAGCCTTCAAGCTAGCTGTCGTTCATAAGACTCAGTAGTCATCTGTAAGTGATCTCAGTAATAACTTTCAACACCAACATGTTTAGCTTGAAAATTGTATCCTCCACCCTTAGCAGAAAGATGAATTTTTGTTTAATTTACCCTAGAATATGCACAAAATTATATGCATACAATCTATGAACAGTACTTATTAACCGAGTAGTATGAACTTGGTAAAAGAGGCCATTTTCTAAACTATGGCTGTTAGTGCATTCATTACTTGAAGGTGTATTGCGTTTATCATAAAGCAGGAAAAATTTCTAAAATCTTTTATTATTAACCTAAAATATTCTAGTGAGCTATTAGTTTGTGTTATTGTATTTGTCTGAAAGCATAGAACAATATCCTTCTTATTCAAGAGTTTGTGCATTCTGACTTTTGCTTGGTCTTCCTTTCCATTCATGTCATTATTTTGCTATAAAATTATACCAGTTTTCTGTTACAAAATGACTTAAATATAATTGATCCTTACATGTAAACAAATAGTTTTGTGAAGTGCCAGATTTATAGAAAAACACAAACACTTAAAGAAACAGAAAAGTTTAATTAAAATTAAGGAATCAAACTAACCTGCAGGATATGGGAATGCTGGTCTAAAATGAAAGGATCCTGGGGTTGTCTTGGAAGAAGAGAAGGGGGCTGTGTGCGTGATGCGAGGATTGGCCACTTTTTCCACATCCTTGGTGCAGCACCCTCTACAGCAGCTGTTCTCAACCTTCCTAATGCTGTGACCTTTTGATACAGTTCCTCTTGTGGTGGTGACACCCCCCCCCCCCACGCCATAAAATTATTTTCCTTGCTACTTCACAACTGTCATTTTGCTACTGTTATAAATTGGGCAACCCCTGTGAAAGGGTCGTTTGATTCCCCAAAGGGGTCTCGACCCACAGGTTGAGAATGCTGATCTAGAGGGGAAGAAAATGGACACATGCAGAACATGCCAAAAGTGTTTCAGATGAGAAGATAGTAAGGGCAGGTTCCAAGTTTAACTTGAAAACATCATTTGCAAAAAAAAAAAAAATCATTGTCAGTTCATTGTGGCTTGGTCACCTATTACATAATAAATGGTACATTTATTGTATTAATTATTAATTATATATGACATGTATGCCATCAGCCCCATGGACCCCTAGTTAAATGCAACAGACCAGGGTGCATGAGTGAACTGGGGAACATGGGATCTTACATTGCCTGCAGAGAGCCACGGCGCCTATTGGCGCCCAAAGTCTGTAGGAGACTAAAAGGAAGGGGCTCTGAACTTGGTTTGTCCCCACACTGGTCTGACCATCAGATAAGGGTTCACTCTTAGGGTCACTGTTTTCCAGAACAGAGACTGACATCCTTTTCCTTTCAGTCTCAGGTGTATTCCCCGATTGATGTACTTACTTAGTATGGCCAGGGCCCCCACCCCCACCCCCACCCCATCCCCGCCGGAAAAGCTATTTTTAGTTAATGCACGTGTTGTATATTCAACTGTATCACTCCCATGGAGTTGAGTCAGACTCTTAGAGCCCCGGCCCCTCCCTGAATAGGGTTCTGAGGCTGTAAATATTTCTGGGAGCGGAAGCCTCATCTTTGTCCCAAGGAGTGCCTGCTGGCTTCAAACCGCTGACCTTGTCGTTAACAGTTCAACGCTCACTCAACAGCACGATCGGGCCTCTTAAAGCTGAAGAGATGTGTGTGTTGGTGGGAATATGCTTTCTTTGGTGGGAAGACAAAATAAGTGAACCTCTGTGCTTTGGGGGAGTAGACATGACCTCAGACTGCTTGAAGGGGAAGAATTAACTGCATTTAGGAAGCTGTTTAAAGATCTGAGGCACTTCCTGTGGACCAGCTTGTGTGTCTCTCTCTTTCTCTCTCTTTCCCCCTGCCCCTCTCCCGTTTCTCTCTCTCCCCCCATATATCTTGTGGTCCAAATGAGCCATTTTCTCTGCCCTGACCGTTCGCCACCACCAGGGCTTCTCCGTCTTTCCCAGTCTAATTGAGAACAGAACCATTCTTGGAGGTTGGCTGATCACAGTCAGCAAGTCATAGCAGGGCCGGGGCTGTGGTGTGAACCAGGAGCTGGCCAGCGATACTCTTTGTGGCCATCGTCACACACGAATGGCCTGGTGCCACTTCCCTGTCGGAGCAGCATGACAAGCACTCTTACTAGTCAGAACATCGAGTCACTGCTTATGAATCAATCAAGGGGACAAGAAATCACATGATTCTTAGAAATTATGAGCTACCTCTTGAATGAGAGACTAGCGAGCCAGGAAATAGAACGGAAGGGAAGCTGGGATGGTGCTGGGGCGACTCGGGAACATGTCCGAGTCTCCTCTCCCTGCAGCTCCTCGTGATCCCTGACGCAGGAGCGCTGCAGGCATCCATTGAGGCAGAGGGAACAATCAAACTTGACCGGCCGACTTATATAAATTATGAAATTTTAAAATGTACTCTGCATTTCATAAACTCAGCAGTTTGCAACATGTGTATTACACTTTGATATGCCAAACAAACTTTTCTCTAACCACTTAATCAATAGGCATACTTTGGCCATTTTTTTTTCCCTCTGAAATTTTACCATGCAGCTCCTGAGATATTCAGCTCAAAAACAGACAAGTATATTGATAGTTCTCATTCTTGTGTGAGTGATGAACATTCGGTTCTCCTTCTGGGGGCCTGCGCGCCCCAGAGATGGCTGTAACCTGCTATTGATCAGCTGATTGAAGATAAATGGCTGGGCTGCTTGTATTGCAGATTACATCATTAACATGGTCAGTAAACCATGAATTGTTCAATAAGGCGTTTATCTTTTTTCATTTGACTTCTGCTCTTTTATCATTTTTATTATAAAGGACAAAATTGCCCACACTAACCAGCAAGATCAGTTTGAAAAGAGATCAAGTGGGCGACCATTACAGGTGCAAAGTTGCAGACCGCTGCATTCTGATGTCTAATGATGCTGCATAGGTATGGGCTGTTGGATGAAGAAAACAGAGTTTTGATGGTTGTTTTTCCTTCTGTGTTTGTCTTGCAGCTTCCTTTTGCCTCGTATTTACTAGAAGCAGTGCTGGAGAAAATAAACGGGAAAAGGGAGCTAATTGAAGAGTATTTCACAATTATGAAAGAATCCAGATGATATGACGGCAAGACGTTTTAATTTTTCCCAAATGTGAGAACTTTTTAAAACGTGCAAACTTTTTTTTTTTAACATCACGTGATTGGAGAAGCACGTATTGTAATTCCAATACAGTGTTTGCTCCGGCCATCAATAGGCAGGTTCAATACCAAAATAAGAAGGCTCTGAAACTAATTAATTGCTGAACAAGTGAAACTAATTAAGTGTAGAGCCATTTAAAAGGAAAGAATGTAGCATTTGATTGTCAAATACAAATACTGCCTCAAATCAATGCAAACTTAAAAATGATTTTCCTTCTGGGGCATTAGACGATGCTCGGACAAGCTTGGCACCCAGACTGGTCGGGGTCTGGCTGGGCGAGAAGAAAACCCAGCAAAACTTAGGGTTCAATGTTGGACCTTTTACCAAGACACTACAAGTGTTACATGCAGTCGCTTGAGTGACCCTCAAAAGCATATTCACATGGAAAAAAAGCAAAACATAAAATGAAGCATCGTAACTTAAGGCAGAGCACTGAATAAAACTGTGGTCCAATTGTCTCTGTTCTCAGTGATATACTGGATTATTTTCCTACAGCTATTCAATAAAAATAAAAGCATTTTCTCTTTGATTCTCAATACTTTGTGTGGCCATGTAGATCAGTGAGGGGCTACAAGCCCAGTGTGGAAGGGTCAGTTTGAACTAATTGCACTCCTGACTGTGGTCAGCTGGAGTTCACATAGACCAAGTAGGCTCACACGCCGGGAACTGTCTCCTCCACTGTCACGCCTCCCTTGTCTCCTTCATGATGTTCCTGCCCCACCTTCCTGCTTCTCAGTCCAATTCATCAAGCTTATTCCCTTCTCCAGTCTTTGCCCTTTCCAGGACACTCTTTCTAGAATACTCTGCCGTCACCTTCCCCCAGAGAAGACGGTTCCTCCTCACTCGGGGTCAGCTCACACATTCCCTTCAGGGATGCACTCCCTGACCACCTGACCCTTTCCTTTGTGAAATACCATTTTCTAGATCATTTTTCTGTTTGCTTATTTGCTTATGTTATATTTTCTCTCCCTGCCCAACTTATAGAAGGTTCTAAGATGAAGGCAAGCCAAACATAAAAAACCTATTGTCATCAAATCAATTTTGACTCAGAGAGACCCACAGGACAAATACAGACCACAAGATAAGCATGTTTCTGCAGTATTAAGTGGTTTACAGTATTAAGTGGTTGAAAACGTTCAGAAAAGTACTACCTTGTGGCTTGTGAGATTTTTATGAAATTTGAATTTCAGTGTCCATAAATAAACTCTGTTGTTGGAACAAGCCAGGCTCGTTTATTGTGTATTGTTATTGTGTATTGTTGTGAGGCAGAGCCCGTTGTTGCGACTGAGACCCCCCCCAGCCCTTAGTGGTGCCTGCCTCACTGCTGTGCCAGTTACAGGGGCACAATTGCAAGCATGTTGAGTGCTGCCGCCGTGTCTCCATTCGGCCTCAAAAGCCTTGCCTGTGCGCTCTCATCCCATCTCAACCAACCAAGAAGAAGAAGGCCATCCTACATCCTGAGGCCAGGGCTGTCCGGATCAGTTGGCTCTTGGATCCGCTGGCTGTGTTGAATGTGTGCAGTGACCTCACAGCCGGGCGCAAAAGAATACAGGGTCCGCCATCATTGCCTGACTGAAAACTCATCGCGTGCGCAAGTGACAGGGAAGGAACGGGAGAAATGACACGTAAACTGTAATGGAACTACACAATATCATACTGATACCCAAACGAAGGTAGTACAAAAAGGAATGCATGGTAGATTGAATAATGGCCCCTCCCACACCAAGCTACTCATGCCCTGGTGCGTGGGACCCATGAATAAGTAACATGTCAAAGGGAACTTTGGGAATGGGATGAAGCCAAAGACCGTAGGGGAGGTGGGCAATGGTACTGACCCCTCCGTGGGCCTCCTGTCAGCCAATGGACACATGTAAGAGGACGACTGGAAGGGGTACACAGAAGGGCTGTGGCATCAAGCAGGGGACTCGCGCACGGATGTCACAGCACACCATGTCCTCCTGCAGGGCCATCCATCCTGACGGCCTGTCCAAAGCAAGCAAGGCGGACCTTCTGTGATCCCTACAATCTTCCTGTTGAGGAATTTCCAGAACTAGACCAGTAGGCCTCTCGTCCAAGTCTGTCTGAATCTAGATCTACTAAAACCTGACAGCTACTGGGGGCCCCTGCTGGGCTCAAGATTTGAAATCTATTGGCTTTGTGCTTCCAGCACCACAGCAACAAGCCATCGCCGTGCCAACCACTGACAGGCATGGCTCGCGCTTTCTGCTCGGTCTCGAAATACCAGATGGTTCTTGACACAACGGGTCCCGATGTGACTATTATTATACGGGTCCTTGTAGCCTCAGTAGGAAAGCCGCTGGGTCCTCAAATAGCTGTAAAGCCCAACAGATGGACAAGTACCTGAGAGCATCAAGGGAGCCCTTCACCTGGTCGAGAGTCCATGTTTAGAAGGGTTTGTGAGATAAGCAGACAGAAAAGTTGCTACTTTAAATTCCTATATTCCTGGACACAGAATTAAAACTGCCCTTGGTACGAGCACACAATTTATATGAAAGATTTTCCATAACATAATAGAATAAAAACAAGTTATTTTCTTGCATGACATGAAAGCTTTCATCAAATCGATGGTTTCCTTTTTAACAAAAAGAACTGGGTGAGCTTTTCCTTTTAAGGTATACAACCACGTTTTGATTTTTATATGTTTATTTTTTTCTACTCAGCAGGAAATGGCAGGCCCTGCCCAGCTCCGCCCCACCCCCTGCCCCCAAATCCAGCCCCCAATCTCCCCCCACACACCCCTTAAACATATGGTCCACAAGGCCACAACCTCGGCATCAGCACTCATCAGACCCTTTTGCCACCTCTGCTTCCTTTGCTTCTAGGGCAGCGGTTCTCAACCTGGGGGCCGTGACCCCTGTGGGTCGCCCGATTCATAAAGTAGCAAAATGACAGTGATGAAGTAGCAACAAAAATGATTGTATGGTTGGGTGGGTCACCACCACATGAGGAACTGTAGGAAAGGGCCATGGCCTTAGGAAGGTTGAGAACCACTGTTCTAGGGTCTCTTGGAGACTAAGCAAAACTCTGCCTTCTGTGCTTAAGATTTATGGGAGGAAAACCAAATACGGTTGCCTTTGATTAGAACCTGGCACAAGGGAGCCAGAGGTGCGGTTTGAGATCGCTGGACTTTCCTTGGTCCCGGTTCTACCCAGGTCTACGCATGTCACATTCCAGAGTAGGTGGCTTTAGGTTTCAGACAGTCTCTCTCTCCTGGGGAATACTTCTTCCATCCCTTTACTGAGTGATGCTAAGACTCAGAACCACACAGGGCTCAGCAGCAGGTTCAGCCGGTGTCCCATCAGCGGAATCCATAATCCCGTGTTTCCCATGGTGCTAGCGGTCCCTAGATACCGTCACGTCTGGCTCCAACTCTCGATGACATTATGTTTAACAGCATGTGCCACCTTTATGACCCTGATGTCTCGTGTCCATTGTCTTTGCTACTGTGTGTCAATCCTGCTCCTTACGGTTTCCCTGGTCCTTGCTGACTCTCTGCCGGCCACTTTCTCCATGTGTAGCCTCTGGTTTTGCCTGATGATGTGGTCAAACTAAGCAAGCCAAATGCTTCTGGCTGTCTTTTGCTTGCATCTGATTTGGTTGTCCTGTCTTCAGTGCAGCCAATATTCCTTACCCACAGTTTGGACACCATCAATTCTGTCTCCCTTCTCACTGCCCATCGCAAACATGGAGGTGTGAGAATCTCAGATGAGCCCTCAAAAGAGCATGATGGTGCAGACTTCTAGGCTTCCAGTCTGCAGAACACAATTCCCCATTCAGGAGCCGACAGAGGGCCTGCCCATGGGACCACCACAGAGCCTGCCCTTGGCAGGGTGTTGTCAGACCCCCCAAGTTACCTGGAGGTGGCATGGCTCTCACAGGATTGTCTGTTTACAAAGGCACATCAGTCCACTTATTTGAGCATTTTTGAGTGTTCTGTGTATCACAAAAGCGCAGCGTAACTGCCAACGGGGTTTCATAAATAGGATCATATGATGTTCACTTTGGCAAACAAATGGTTTTAGGTATTAAATGTATGTAAACAATTCCCTGAAAACAGTTTGTCCGTTTCCTGTTATTTTTGTCTTTCTCTGAAACCTCTTTAAATTAAAAAAAAGTCTGCCTTCCATCTAGTACTGTACGGTAGTGCTGCCTTCTCCTTCAGATCCCGATTTTCATCCATCTTGAATTCTTGAATGTGGAGTGTGATGGAGGATCCATTATTTTTCCCAGTTAGTTGATTTTTCCATGCGATATCTGCATTGTTTCACTTTCTGATGGCACAATGTCTGAGGCCAAGGCTCTTCACATCTCTGTCAATGGTCCCAGGCTTCATCTCCAAGGGATTCTTTCTGCAAATGGACCTGGGGCTTTCATTGACCTCCATAGCCTTCCAGAACCATTTTTAATGAAAACAAGTTGAGATGATTATAGATTTGCCTCTAGTTGTAAACCGATTTCAATACGCTTTACCAAATTTTATAAAATCTTAATATAAAAAACTAGGATATTGCTATTAATACAATTCATTGATCTTATTCACATTTCCCAAGTTTTCCCTGTGTTTGTGTGTATGGGGGTGTGCTTACTAAATTGTAATTATTTCTAAGCAATGCCATCACATTGTAGGTCCGAGATCCACCACCACGCTTAGAGTATGCAGCAATTCCGTCATCACAGGCGTCCCTCATGCTGCCATTTTACGGTCATGCTTGCCTACCTGCCAACCTCCACCTCTAATTCCTGATAAGCACTAATCACTTCTAAAAGGTGCCCTTTCAGAAACATAAATGGAATGAGAACATAAGCTTTAGAATCTGCTGTTTTCCCACTGGTGCGTCACTGGCTCTTTGCCGTTGTCAAGTTAAGATTCCATGGTAGTATGCATTACTGCACAAGGTGAAGTGGCTCGTAGGATGAAAAATAGCTTGGCTGATAGGGTTTGAGGACAAAAATAGAGTTACTGTAAGCGTGTGTCTTGGTCCTTGTGTGAATGTAAATTTCATTCTGCTGGGATAAAGGATCAGGGGTAAGATAGTTACAGTTTATTGTGCCAACCTGGCCAATAAACACATGGGTTAATTGAAGGGTGGAGAAATAAATGGCTCGGTGAGCCTCGCCTTTCGAGTTCTCGAGTCTCTTGTTTTGTGATGGTTGGTGCCTTGGGCAGTTCCCTGCTTCAGCTGGCAAGGCTCACTTCCTGCAAGACATCCCCAAGAAGAAGGCCCATGGAATTACCCCCATGCAGCCCTGGGTGCTGGAACAGCCGTGTGGAGACCCCTGCCAGTGCTGAGATGCTTACACGTTCACTAATTCAGCTTTCCTCCTGCAGTTGGCATCATAGTGTATGTTTTATGAGACAGAGGAGGACTTGTGGATTGGTGTAGGACATATGGGTTAATGTTGGGCTTGGGCAGCACTGGGTTGGGATGTTTTCTTAATGTGCACTTAACCTTTATATAAAACTCTCTCTTATACATGAGTTTCTGTGGATTTGTTTCTCTAAAGTACCCAGACTATCACAAAGAGTGAGATCGATGGATTATGTGCTCATTACATTTTAAGAAACGGCCTAAACTGTCTCCCAGGGTGACTGTCCAATGGCACATTCCCACGGGCTGTGTACGAATGCTCCTCTGCCCACCCAACTCTGGGGCAGCTCAGGACCTTGGCACTGCAGTCTTCTCTTAGTAGTCTTACTTACTTCTCTTAGTCCTCTCTTAGTAGGCACCCTGCCTTCTCTTCTTTCAAGCCTTGATTCAATTCACCTCCTTAAAGAGGCTTCTCCCTGCTACCCCCACCTTAATGGCACACCACAGTTGTTGCTACCATCTCCCCCTGCCTTCCTTTCTCCATAGTGATAATATATACAAGGGGGTACCCCACCACCACCAAAAATATAGAGTTTTTACCCCCAAAGCTATGTATTTAATTAATTTTTTTTACAAAGCAACCTTCTCACCTTCAAAGCACTTGCCATTTCACTTAATACATTTGTCTAATCTGTGATTCCATTCTTGGAAACATTTTTCAAACTCTTCTGTTTGGATGGCTAATAGCACCTCCCTTGTTTTTTTCTTCACCTCTTCTAAGTTGTCAAATCATTGTTCATTTGCAGAAACAAAAAGAAATTGCATGGAGCGAGGTCAGGTGAGTAAGGTGCATGGAGCAAGTGGAGCATGTTGATGTTTGCCAAAAAACGC